TTTCTGATTTGGACTACAAACACCAACCCCTTCTTTGTAGTTCACGGAAGGCAGCTGATAATATTGTTTTAGATTTTAGTTCAGTGCATTCAAAGTTACAAAGACACAAGATTTATGGCCACTGTGGGGACAAGGTCAACCAGTGCCCAGGACACCATACCCCCTTGACTTCCCCCAAATGGATGGCGAAGTAGAGAAATGGTTGGTGAGGAACAAAATTTTTATAAAGTTTGTGTTATGCAAATAAACATTGGCAACAGAAAAAATGTCAGTGGTGTTACTGAAAGGAAAAAAATGTCCCTGAGTCGGTGGCATCACTGAAATCAAAAAAGGTCTCTGCATCTGTGGTATCACTGGAAGGAAAAAATGTTCCTGAGTTAGTGGTGTCACTGAAATGAAAAACAGTCTCTGCATCAATGGTGTTACTGGAAGGAAAAAATGTGTTGCTGGTGTCACTGGAAAGACAAATGTCCCTGTATTGGTGGTGTCACTGGAAAGACAAACGTCCCTGTGTTGGTGGTGTCACTGGAAAGACAAACGTCCCTGTGTTGGTGGTGTCACTGGAAAGACAAATGTCCCTGTGTTGATGGTGTCACAGAAAAAGAAAATATATCCCTACACCAGTGGCACCACTGGAAGAAAAAGACCACTACAAAGCTCCTCTCTCAACCCCAGTAAAGGACTCTTCACCCAACCCTAACCCCCCTCCCCCCACCCCCTTCCTCACTTTAAATCTCACCCCCCCCCTTTAGTACAGAGAATCCCCCTCCTCCCTCCCAGTACACTAACTCTCTCCTCCTCCCTCTCCCCCAGTAAACAGAGCAACCCCATTCTCTCTCCCTCCTTCTACCATGGTACACAGAGCCTTCCCTACTCCCTTTCCCCCCTGTACACATAGCTTCCCCCTCCGCCTTCTCCCCTCAGTACACAGATCCTCCTTCCTCCCTCTCCCCCAGTTAACAGAGCCCCCCCCCCTCCATCTCTCCTACCCCAGTACACAGAGCCTTCCCTTTCCCCCCAGTGCACAGAGCTCCCCCTCCTTCCTTTTCTCTCCTCCCTCTCTTCCCAGTTCATAGAGCCCCCTCTCCCCTAGTACACAAAGTTCCCCCAGTACATAGAGCCCCCCCAGTAGACAGAGCTCCCCCAGTATACAGAGTCCCCCTCCCAGTACTCGGAGCCCCTTGGTATACAGAGCCCCTCAGTATATAGAGCTCCCCCAGTACACAGAGCACCCTAAGTACAGAGCCTGCCCAGTACACAAAGCCCCTTCCCAGTACTGAGAGCCTTCCCCCAGTACACAGATCTCACCCAGTACTCAGATCCATCAGTAATCTGAGCCCCCCAGTATACAGAGGCCCCCAGTACATAGAGCCACCCAGCGCTTAGTACTCGCCCCAGTAAACAGAGCCCCCTCATTACACAGAGCTCCCCCAGTACTCAGAATCCCTCCAGTACACAGAGCCTGCTCAGCACATAGAGCCCCCCAGTACACAGAGCCCACCCCCCACCCCCAGTATTCAGAGCTGGTAAAATGCAACATTGTGTTTTGGGGTTTTTATATACTTTATGTATTGTACATACAACCAGAATTAGTACTTGAATCTGTCTTGATATCAATCTCCGGTCACATAGTGCTCAGTGTGGGAGATGGAGGGGCAACTCTAGGACCCAATTAGAAAATGCTGCATGCACATGTCCTTTTATATACAGTATCTCCCAGAAGTGAGTCCACCCCTCACATTTTTGTAAATATTTTATTCTATCTTTTCATGTGACAGCACTGAAGAAATGACACTTTGCTACAATGAGACGTAGTCAGTGTACAGCTTGTATAACATGTAAATTTGCTGTCCCCTCATAATAACTCAACACACAGCCATTAATGTCTAAACCGCTGGCAACAAAAGTGAGTCCACCCCTAAGTGACAATGTCCAAATTGGGCCCAATTAGCCATTCCCCCCCCCCCCTGCTGTCATGTGACTCCTTAGTGTTACAAGGTCCCAGGTGTGAATGGGGAGCAGGTGTGTTACATTTGGTGTTATTGCTCTCACTCTCTCATACTGGTCACTGGAAGTTCAACATGGCACCTCATGGCAAAGAACTCTCTGAGGATCTGAAAAAAAGAATTGTTGCTCTACATAAAGATGGCCTAGGCTATAAGAAGATTGCCAAGACCCTGAAACTGAGCTGCAGTACAGAGGCCAAAACCATACATTGGTTTAACAGGAAAGGTTCCACTCAGAACAGGCCTCACCATGGTCGACCAAAGCAGTTGAGGGCATTTGCTCAGCGTCATATCCAGAGGTTGTCTTTGGGAAATAGATGTATGAGTGCTGCCAGCATTGCTGCAGAGGTTGAAGGGGTGGGGGGGTCAGCCTGTCAGTGCTCAGACCATACGCCACACACTGCATCAAATTGGTCTGCATGGCTGTCGTCCCAGAAGGAAGCCTCTTCTAAAGATGATGCACAAGAAAGCCTGCAAACAGTTTGCTGAAGACAAGCAGTGTAGGGACATGGATTACTGGAACCATGTCCTGTGGTCTCATGAGACCAAGATAAACTGATTTGGTTCAGATGGTGTCAAGCATGTGTGGCAGCAACCAGGTGAGGAGTACACAGACAAGTGTGTCTTGCCTACAGTCAAGCATGGTGGTGGGAGTGTCATGGTCTGGGGCTGCATGAGTGCTGCCAGTACTGGGGAGCTACAGTTCATTGAGGGAACCATGAATGCCAACATGGACTGTGACATATTGAAGCAGAGCACGATCCCCTCCCTTCAGAGACTGGGTGGCAGGGCAGTATTCCAACATGATAACGACCCCTAACACACCTCCAAGACGATCACTGCCTTGCTAAAGAAGCTGAGGGTAAAGGTGATGGACTGGCCAAGCATGTCTCCAGACCTAAACCCTATTGACCATCTGTGGGGCATCCTCAAACAGAAGGTGGAGGAGCGCAAAGTCTCTAACATCCACCAGCTCCGTGATGTCATCATGGAGGAGTGGAAGAAGACTCTAGTGGCAACTTCTAGAGAACTCCAAGTCCAAGTGGGTTAAGCCAGTGCTGGAAAATAATGGTGGCCACTTTGTGTCCAATTTGGACATTGTCACTTAGGGGTGGAATCACTTTTGTTGCCAGCAGTTTAGACATTAATGGCTGTGTGTTGAGTTATTTTGAGGGGACAGCAAATTTACATGTTATACAAGCTGTACACTGACTACGTCACATTGTAGCAAAGTGTAATTTCTTCATTGTTGTCACAGGAAAAGATAGAATCAAATATTTACAAAAATATGAGGGGTGGACTCACTTCTGTGAGATACTGTATATAAAGTAGTGCAGTGATCAAGTGTATTACATTAAAATGGTTCTAAAGCTTGAGGGTTTTTTACCTGAATGCATTAAGATAAACAACCTTTAGTAATAGGGATCTACCCAAAAGCCTCCCTAATACTTATTTGCTCCTATGAAGCTCCTTGGAAATGGCCGCCGCTAATGCCAATGCGCATGCGCGAACTGGCGTGATGACGCATACACGATAGGCCTACATGTGTTTTGCTCCTATGAAGCTCCTTGAAAATGGCCGCCGCTAATGCTAATGCGCATGCGCGAACCGGCGTGATGACGCGGTCGCGTTTTAATGCGCATGCGCGCCAATGACTATTTATACATTGCATTCATGAATGGCACATTCCCTCTGATGATGTGTTTGGACACGAAACGCGTCAGTGAAGTGCCATTACACTGCGTTTTTGTACATGTACTGCCGGGCCAGCTGTCTCTTGATGGCTGAGCCACCAATGTAAGTCATTTCTACTTGTTATTACTTTTAATACTTAATAAACGATATCACACTATTGGAGGCCTTCTCTACGGGCTCTTTATTTTCCCTGGGAGCCTGTGTCTTTGAAGGTATTTTGCTGTGGCTGTGAGCTGTGTATAGCAGAAACCTCCTCTGGTATCTACGAGTGACATTCCTGGATCCTGGAGATATCTCTCTCTCAGATGGATGACATCTAGCGGCTACTTCATAGATGACAACACTCTGTTCCAGTATTACATATCCTGAGTACCAGGAGCAGGCCTTAACCTTCTTAGCGGTATTCCTGAGTGTAGCTCGGGGTAAAATTTCTATACCAAAAGCGGTATCCCCGAGCTACACTCGGGCTTACCATGCGGCGCTGCTCTGGGAGTCCCTGCAGCACTTACCTTGTCTTTCGCTCCCGCGATGTGTCCCCTGCAGCGTCCTCCGGCCGATGCCGGCATCCGGCTTCTGTGTTCCGGTCCCTGTGACGTCGGGACATATGGGCGCCGGAACCGGCGGGAAATTTGACATTTTTAAAAAATGTCATTTTTGCTGTCATTGCTGTTTCAGTGCATTTCACATATATTTTGTCCCTACTGCTTTGTCCGGCGCCCTGCCTGCATTTTGACTGTTCTTTCTGCCTGGAAACTTAGAAAAGTCCATGGCGTCCAAAAAGCATCCCTTTACGTCAAAAGCAGTTTTAAAACCGCGATAGTAAATCAGAACCACTTGCAGAATTGAGTGATAATGATTCGTGGGGAAATTCGTCATCAGACACTGAAAACGATTTTGCGACTTTGCTCAGCGATGTGCGAATTTGCCTCTGTATTTCAAATTTCAGTGTTTTTGGTTTGATTATATTATTGAATTAAATTTATTATTATTATATTATTATTTTTTATGATTATTTATTAAATTATAATTTATGATTTTGTGTTTCAAGTTTTATCCTACCCGGGATGTTTACTAGACTCTTGTTCTGACAGATTTCAGTGAGTTATTCCTAAAAATTACAGCCTACATTAAAAAACTACATATTTCCAAAAAAAGTACCGCTTTCAGCACAAAAAATCGGAAAGAATCATACCGCCGAGGAGGTTAATCACCTCGGGGTTTTTTATTTTTTGCTAAACAAACCAAAAAATACTGAAAATTAAAAAAAAAAAAAAATAACGTTTTTACTTAGCTTTTGTTATAACATTTTGTAAATAAGTGATTTTTCTCCTTCACTGATGTGCGCAAATGAGGCTGCAGGGATGGGCACTGATAGACTGCACTGATAGGTGGCACTGATGGGCACTGATGAGGAGGTACTGGTAGGTGGCACTGATGGGCATTAACAGGCATCACTGATGGTCACTGAAATGTGGCACTGATAGGTGGCACTGATTGGCAGCATTGATAGGTGGCACTGATAGGTGGCACTGAAAGGCAGCTGAGATGGACACTGATATGTGGCATTAATGTACACTGGTAGGCTCTGATATGTGGCATTGATGAGGCACTGATGGGCACTGGCAGGTGGCATTGATGAGCACTGACAGGTGGCACTGCTGGGGCTACACTGATCATCAGGGCACACTGATCATCAGTGCGCTGATGATCAGTGTACATGTCGCCTCCGAGTAATGCCGATTAACGTTTCTCCTCGCCTCTCAAGCTGTCAGCGTGAAGCTCATGAAGAAAGAAATGCTGATTATTATAAAAATATAAAAAAGAACTTAAAGGCTAAGTTTTTTCTGAGAAAATAGCCTATGCAGTCATGGGGCCCCAGTAGATATTAAGTGTTCTTTAATTTTATTGTCATACCTGGAGGCCATTTGGCCCCTCTTGAAGCCTGGCCAAAAAACTCCCAGTTAGTAATCCTTATGCCCTACTTTTTTCAAAAGTAAAAAAAACCACAAATACAAACTTTTCAGCTTTGAAAATAAAGCTTATTAATGTCCTTAAGAGTAAATCCAGTGCCAATCACTGCATCCAATGAGGTAATCCTCGTCAACCGCAGTGTCCATTGGGGTAATCCATGTGAAACGCAATGACCCCTTGATCTGTGCATGCCACACTCCCATCACTAAATGACAGATTCCTAGCTCCAAAAAGTTTATTTTCATCAACTTAAATTGTTCAAATCTATACCCCTCCTATGCCTTACTGCCTACCACATAGCATGGACTATACAAGCAATAGGAGGAGATCTGTCCAGCCTAACATCAGTCTAGTAATTGAAATCCCAGGTGATGACATTGACATTGATAACACCCAGGATTGTCAGTGGTATTGCTGCAGCCAGGAATCTGTCATTTGGTGGCAGGTGTGTGGCATGTGTACTGCCCACCCGAATTCTGTTACTGCTGACTTCCATTGTCTTCTGATCTGGGGTTTTTAATGATTTTCAAAAACAAACATATAAAAATATAGTCACACCAATGATGCTGGATTAAATAATAACTGTACTGAGAAACTGGAAGCGTAATTACAGACAGAAGATTATAGACTTTAAATATAATGAAGCTATAAATGAAATGTTTTCATTTCACACCATACCTAAGATGTATGATCAGATGAAGTGTAAGAAGTGTGAAATTATCCGAAGATGTATAAAAAAAATGAAGAAGGCGTGTATTTTAGATACACAATTTGCTACCGAATAATATACATTATGTGCCAGCCCGGATATAATCTTTCTGTTTTTGGTAGTACATAGTAGATGCCGGAGAGTTTAACTGTAATTAAAAACTCAACTCACCAAGCTATGACTATAATTAAAAAGTTGCTTTTGGATGGTTCTGCACACCCATTATGAGGAGTTTCATTTTTTCTGCTTTAATTTGTATTTTTTTTTTTTTCATGAAGAATGCAAAACTCACAAAGGAAGGTGGAAACACCCAAAACATCCAGGTGGATAGGAACACAGTCTGGAATGATGTCATGGAGATCTCAGTGTTGGCCTACCCAAGATATAAAAGAGGCCAGGGGCAAACTCAACTCACCAAGCTACAACTATAATTACAAAATTGCTTTTTTGGATGGCAAAACTCACAAACTAGGGTGGAAACACCCAAAACGTCCAGGTGGATAGGAAAAAACGTCCATGTGGATTATGAGGGGTTCCATTCTTTCTGCTGCATTTGTTTTTTGTTTTTTTTTTTCATGAAGAAGGCACAACTCACAAAGCAGGGTGGAGACACCCAAAACGTCCAGGTGGATAGGACCAGAGTCTGGAATGATGTCAGGGAGATCTCAGTGTTGGCCTACCCAAGATATACAAGAGGCCAGGGGAAAACTCAACTCACCAAGCTATGACTATAATTAAAAAGTCACTTTTGGATGCTTCTGCACACCCGCTGTTGTCATTATGAGGGGTTCCATTCTTTCTGCTGAATTTGTATTTTTTTTTTTTTACATGAAGATGGCAAAACTCACAAAGGAGGGTGGAAACACCCAAAATGTCCAGGTGGACAGGAATAGAGTCTGGAATGAAGTTCGGGAGATCTTAGTGTTTGCCTACCCAAGATATACAAGAGGCCAGGGGCAAACTCAACTAACCAAGCTACGACTATAATTAAAAAATCGCTTTTGGATGGACTGATCCTTTAGGGCTAGGTTCACACGTTTGTGTGTTGGGAATGGGTGTAAAATGATGTGCTTTCCCAACATGCCCAGAATAGCACTGCCACTTAGCAGACCTGTGGTGGTGCCATTATTTAATAATGGCACCCCCATGAATGTGCAAATGTGCAACCCAAACTGCATGATAAACCGGTACCATGCGGATTAGTGTGCTGCATTTCTGGACTTCTTTTCTGTGATTCTCTTGCATAGTGTAGCTCATTGAAATGAAATGGGCTGCCCTACACACGATGTGTGGGAATGCTCTGAAACACATCCTCAGGACCCAGTTGTAGCTGTGAACCAAGCCTGAAAGCTATACTGTAGAAAATAGGGGGGTGCAGCGCTAATGAAATGCACAAAGATGATAATTAAATAACTAAAACAATAAATTCATATATACATAATAAAGTGACACTGTGCAAATATATGTTTTAATTCAATAATTACCACGCTCTAATACTAATTAAAAAAGTGCTCAGTGCTTGAAAAATAATATAAATAAATCAACAATTGATGATACCTTTAAAAAATTGTAAATACTCCTATATATGTGCCAATTAATAAATCAAATATTAATTCATGATAAAAATAATATATAAAGTCCAAAAAATCCAAAAGGTATAAATAAAAAGTCCCAAGTGCAAAAAGAAAGTGCTATAGTGTTCAAGTCAAATCAAATCAAATCAAATCATACTCTCCTTCCAACATATGGTTTGCTTCAATATTGCAGCTTTATAATTAGCCTGTGTGTCTGTGAGGGATGATCCCTCCTTTGATCCACTCTCTCCTCTAATATGTGCTTCAATGCTGCAGCCTTGCAAGTAGCTTGTATGCCTGTGAGAGATGATCCCTCCTTTGATCCACTCCTTGTTGTAACAGCCAAATGCATGCAAAGAGAAAAGAATATATGGTGCCTTATCCCAGAGACAAATTCAGATTTTAATTCACTTTTGCATTACACTCACATGTTAAAAACATCAATAGCGCTTTTTGTATAGCAAACAACCGCTGCCTGCGGTGAAGGTCTGGCCAGAGGGTGTGTACCCCATGCCATCAGTACTTGCCGTATCAGATGTGCGGTGACGTCACTGCCCCTCCCCAACGCGTTGCGCCACAGGGACTGCGTAGCTTCGTCTGGGGGATGATGTGCAAATATATGTGTCACTGAAATATGTGGCTGGTATCGTGAGAAAGATGTACTTAATCAAATTAAAGGTAAGTCCAAGGTAACAATGTAAGTCCAAGGTAACAATGTGAGTGAGATCACAGTTGATTTTCAGATGTCCAATGACTGGAAATGTGGATGAGCTGAACCCCTATGACTACAAGCCATAGCTCAAAACGCATCAGGGTAGAGCTACAGCGGGTTGACGCCATACTGCCGGCACCACGAGGGGTCCCGGTGGCCATCTTGACTTGGTCAGTATTGCCCTATTATTTTATTATGCTCATTTGCCTGACTCCTGGAATAAACATCCTAGACATACTGCATTATTGGCCTCCTCTGTTTTTTTTGAGCTCCTGTGGGAGCTGACTACCACAGTCATCCGGTCATCCCTGAGTGTGCACCATGAGGCAGTGAAGGATACATGACCAGATCTGACCAGACCTATGTGAGGACATCTGATGTTTTTGATATACAAATGCGCATAAAGATTGCGTATCTGGTGAGTGCGCAATCTATACTTTATTTTCTCACCTCATCCACGTTTCCAGTCATTGGAGGTCTGAAGATCATCTGTGATCTCACTCACATTGTTACCTTGGACTTACCTTTAATTTGATTAAGTACATCTTCTCTCACGATACCAGCCACATATTTTTGCACTGTGTCACTTTATTATGTATATATGAATTTATTGTTTTAGTTATTTAATTATCATCTTTGTGCATTTCATTAGCGCTGCACCCCCCCCTTTAGTTTACTGTTTATCTGGAGGTCTTATATGGTGCCTTTGGTGCATAGCCGCTGTTACATTACGTTATTTTAGCGCTCACTCATTCCATTTTTTACTATACTGTAGAAAATGTATCCGCTACAGAAAGTTTTTCCACATGTACCAGATGTACTATATATCCAGCTTATTTTAAAAAAAACTACAAAATGTTTGCATATGGCATGTCTCCAATAAATCCGCCAGAAGCAAATTCTAGTTCAGTAAATAGAAAGAACCTCTGTGCCAGATAGTTATTGTGTTTATTTTGCTTTAACCACTTGCCCTGCAGAGGATTTACCCCCCTTCCTGACCAGGTCATTTCTTTGTGTTACAGCGTTACTTTAACTGACAATTGTGCGGTCATGCAACACTACACCCGAATAAAATTTACGTCTTTTTTTTCCCATGAATTGAGCTCTCTTTTGGTAGTATTTAATCGCCTGTGCGGTTTTTAATTTTTTGCGCTATAAAGAAAAAGTCCAACAATTTTGAAGAAAATAAAAACAATATTTTGGGCTATTTGCTATTAAACATGTCCAGTAAAAAAAATTAAAAAAAATCAAATTTCAACATAAATTTAGGCCAAAATGTATTCTGCGACATGTCTTTGCTAAAAAAAATGGTGGTATTTATACTGGAATTTTTTTTCCACTAGTAATGACAGCGATCAGCAACTTATAGCGGGACTATAGCAAGCATTCTGACACTGGGGGGAACTGACTTAGTGTCACTGACATCCCAGTGACACCAATACAGTGATTAGTGCTAATAAAAAGCACTGACACTGTACTAATGACACTGGGCAGGAAGGGGTTAGCATGTGGGGTGATCAAAGGGTTAACTGTGTGCTGTTTTACTATGGGGGCTGTGTGTGTGCTTCACTGTAAGCACATTGCTATGCAGAGCCATACAAAGCAGTGTGCAGGAGCTGACAGAGGAGAGATCTGTATCGTTTATATAAAGGTCTCTCCCCCATTGGAAATCCTCGTAGATCGTCAGATGCCGGTGGGGAATCACCAGCTGGGACTCAGTGATTGACATCCGAGGCTGCGAACTGCAAAATCAGGTATATATACACATGAATTTGCGCACCCGTGCCTCCTGGTAGCAGTATTTCTGCTATAGGGTGGCATGGAAGCAGTTAAAGACTTTCAATTGTGCCAAATAAACAGAACAGTTATTTGCTGAGTGTCTTTTTGCGTTTCTTCCGTACTGCAGTAGGGAACCATTTGGAACCACTAATAAATATGAGGATTGTTGCGTTAGGTTGCCTATCTATAAAATTTCTGGAAGAGTGAGCCGACTCAAATACTGTACATGCAGCATAAAAGGGGACAGAAAAGGACAACCATTGTGTTTTGTAAACTCAATGCAAAGCAGAATGCAGAGCCGGTGTATGTAATGAGCGGATATGGCTGCTTCTTAGTACATATATAATTACAAACTACACAAAAATACAATGTTTGGAAACATTAACAATGATTGGTGAGATAATTTACACCATTTCTTGGACTTGTATTTGTAATAATAATGGAAAGGCTAATTGCTGTGTATTTACTTTTAACACTGATCAGTTCCTGCACTTTGTTTTGTTAACAGGAGAGGTCCCTGTCCTACTGAATGGTCTTATAAACCAATCTATCTCAATGTCTCTTCATGGAGGTCCATCAGATCCTGTACAGGTAGTAATATGGAACTTCAATGCAACCCCATTGTTGACTTACACAAATAATCAGCTTACTGTTATAAACGAAAAGTTTAAACAAAGACTGGAGATTCTGGATGATGGAAGAGCGCTGAAGATTGGACAGCTGAGACTGGAGGACAGTGGACTGTATACTGGAACTATAAAATTTATTACCAAGACAACCTATCAGAAAGTCTACATCCTCCATGTGTATGGTATGTCATCATCTCTGCATTCTATCCATTAACATTTAACCCCTCAGTATTCAAAGTGCTTAACCCTTTTTTTTTACATGAAAGGCAAACCGAAATATTCACTCTGTGGAGAGAGTAACAGATGTCTATCCACCAAATGCCGTATTACCAATTGTAAAGTATAAACCAATGACCAAATTTACTAGAATGTTAGCTAAAAAAATCTGCCATAAAGCTGAACTCCAGGCAAAGCCTAGATACTTAGACAAAATTAAAGTGTTACAAAACCCAGGACCCTGCATTCACTATATCTGGTCTCCCCGGACCCCACATTCACTATATCTGGTCTCCCCGGACCCTGCATTCACTATATCCGGTCTCCCCGGACCCCACATTCACTATATCCGGTCTCCCCGGACCCTGCATTCACTATATATGGTCTCCCCAGACCCTGCATTCACTATATCTGGTCTCCCCGGACCCTGCATTCACTATATCCGCTTTCCCCGGACCCTGCATGCACTCTATCTGGTCTCCCTGGACCCTGCATTCACTATATCCGCTCTCCCCGGACCCTGCATTCACTATATCTGCTCTCCCCGGACCCTGCATTCACTATATCCGGTCTCCCTGGACCCTGCATTCACTACATCTGGTCTCCCTGGACCCTGCATTCACTACATCTGGTCTCCCCGGACCCTGCATTCACTATATCTGCTCTCCCCAGACCCTGCATTCACTATATCCGCTCTCCCTGGACCCTGCATTCACTATATCTGGTCTCCCTGGACCCTGCATTCACTATATCTGGTCTCCCTGAACGCTGCATTCACTATATCTGGTCTCCCTGGACCCTGCATTCACTATATCCGCTCTCCCCGGACCCTGCATTCACTATATCTGGTCTCCCCGGACCCTGCATTCACTATATCTGTTCTCCCCGGACCCTGCATTCACTATATCCGGTCTCCCCGGACCCTGCATTCACTATATCTGCTCTCCCCGGACCCTGCATTCACTATATCTGGTCTCCCTGGAGCCTGCATTCACTATATCCGGTCTCCCCGGACCCCGCATTCACTATATCTGGTCTCCCCGGACTCTGCATTCACTATATCTGGTCTCCCTGGACCCTGCATTCACTATATCCGGTCTCCCAGAACCCTGCATTCACTATATCTGGTCTCCCCGGACCCTGCATTCACTATATCTGCTCTCCCAGGACCCTGCATTCACTATATCTGGTCTCCCCGGACCCCGCATTCACTATATCCGGTCTCCCCGGACCCTGCATTCACTATATCTGCTCTCCCCGGACCCTGCATTCACTATATCTGGTCTCCCTGGAGCCTGCATTCACTATATCTGGTCTCCCTGGACTCTGCATTCACTATATCCGCTCTCCCCAGACCCTGCATTCACTATATCCGCTTTCCCCGGACCCTGCATTCACTATATCCGCTTTCCCCGGACCCTGCATTCACTATATCTGGTCTCCCTGGACCCTGTATTCACTATATCTGGTCTCGCCGGACCCTGCATTTACTATATCCGCTCTCCCCAGACCCTGCATTCACTATATCCGGTCTCCCCGGACCCTGCATTTACTATATCTGGTCTCCCCGGACCCTGCATTCACTATATCTGGTCTCCCTGAACCCTGCATTCACTATATCTGGTGTCCCAGGACCCTGCATTCACTATATCTGGTCTCCCTGAACCCTGCATTCACTATATCTGGTGTCCCAGGACCCTGCATTCACTATATCTGGTGTCCCAGGACCCTGCATTCACTATATCTGGTTTCCCACAGTACACACAACATGGAAATGCAATTATTTTAGTAAATATAAACTGCTAAATACCTTTTCTCATCAGCAGTTAGAGCCGTCTTGTGACTTCTATCAGTGTTCGGCTGAGTACTGGATAAAGCTTGGAGGAGGAGTTTTCTTTCTGCTCTAGGAGGATGCAAAACCCCTGACCTCTGTCTGGTCAGTGCTGATTGACCCTGTGCTGATCACATGCACTCTTCCAAGAACAAAAAAAACTCTCTAGCAATACACACCAAACTAAGCATGTGCATGTGGCTCCGGTCTGTCTTATCAGGTGGACATTTGAAAAAGAGGAGGGGCAGAGAAGACAGGATCAAATGGCCTTTTTACACAATGCACGAACCACAACAGTACAATCAGTCTGTATATGCAGTAAAGCATGCTTGTTATACTCACTGTGGAACCTAAGCGGTTAATCCTCTGCATTGTATAAAAAGGCTGTTTGATCCTGTCTACCCATCGTGATCAGCGGTTTGCAGCCTGTAAGGGATTAACTGTGGCAGCTCTGTGATAAAGTCGGAGATCGGCTTCTTCGGCCTGAAACCGGCACATGCACAGTTGCTTCAGGGGATACATATCTTCACGGGTCGGGATACTCATTTTACCTCAACACCGCCACCGCTCTTTCCTCTGTGGAGGGGTGACACCACGTGTTACTGCACCGGGTGACACCAACCCTAGGGACGACTTTGACTGGTGACTAGTCCTATGACCTCTACATACATTTTTATATTGTTGAATCAAAAAGCGTGCCAAAAATGATCCAAAAGTACTACGATGATTTTTTTGCTCAATAAATGACCACAAAAAGTATAACAGTCACCATGTTTCAGGGGCCGATGGATCTCCTCCTTCCTCAGGGCTTAAGAAAAAATGAAATGGTTTAGGTACTCAGAAGTCACACAATCACCAGGGTTTAATTGTATACTGTGTAAAAAGTCAGATATTACCAGGGTCAGTGAATGAATGAATCTGCAATGCTGATCCATTCATTCATGCTGACATTCACTGTTCAGAGACTGTTCATCACAGTCGTTGGTACATGCTGAGCATTTTTTAGCTACCTATCCAGACTTGTGGTCACAAAGTCTGACAGAGGGACATTTTCCAGCACCAACTTCCATTGTGGCCCCTAAGATATCATGCAACTGGAAGCCAGGAGCTGCAATGGAATCTGATACCGGAGGATTTGAAAACGTGTGTCACAATAAACCATATGCTTTAGGAACGCCTTTCTTTCACCTTCAGAACCAAGAGTGTAAAGCGAGCACTCACTGAAGCAGCTATTGCACCAAAAAAGTAACCACAAACTTTCTCAATTGTAAAGATCATAAACGTAGTGCAGCGCTAAATAAGTATTGGCCAAGAGACTAACCAATCATCGATATAACATGCAATAAACAGTATAATGTCCACAATTAATCAATTTGCTGGTGGTAGTTGTCCCCACTGGTAAATGATGGACCAATATTAGAACTCCCCGTGTGCTTAAACCTTGAAATCTGGTGACGTGCGTTCAAATAGATATAGAAAGATTGCCCACTCACTGGAAGCGCAATCTTAATGCGCAAAGATCAGATAAACCAGGAGCGGTGGTTCCCTTGATGGTATAGCCTGGAACAGGATCCTCTCCTCTCCAAACGTGGGTGTTAGAGATATCCTTCCTGAACGGCCTGGAACTTGTAAATGTGGTGGGGTCTGGATACTGGTTCCCTCCTCTAATCCCGGTAGTGCACCTGGGGTCCTTCTTACATTTCCTCACCAGGCTTGTGCTGTAGCACAGCAAGATCTGTCACAATCAGGGGTGGACTGACCATTTGGAAACTCGGGCACTGCCCGAGGGCCCGGGGTCAGTAGGGGGCCCCATGAGATGCCCCTGGTACCTTTTTCATAGACTTTTTTTAGTTTGGGCAAGGACATTCTTTCTTAGATACTTAGAATATAACTGGATACTAACATTTATAGGTAAAGTTGATTCAGAGAATATCCGATTGCCTCTCAGGGGATCAGGAAGGAATTTTTTCCCAGCAGGAGCAAATTGGATCATGCTTTGCTGGGTTTTTTTTTGCCTTCCTCTGGATCAACTGTGGGTATAGGATTATAATTTTTTTTTTTTTTTTTAAATGAACTGGATGGACTTTTGTATTTTTTCAGCCAGACTAAGTATGTAACTATAGTTTAATGTTTATATGGAATTCAGGAATGTAGGGTTTGGTTTGGGCTATGATTTGTCCTAAGTGTTGCTTTATGTCTGATTATTATCAGTATTGTTATGACACAGAAGTATCATCCATCTAATGTACTTATAATATCTATGTCATTTGTCTATTCCATCTACAGGTACAAGCATAAGTTATTTTCTATTGGGGAATTATTTAATCCAGAATAATGCAAGGTGTTTCAAAAATATGACAAATCTAATATAATCAGAAGGTCATCAATATATCTACCATATACTAATATTTCTTTTTTATTATTATTCTGGAATATATATACTTGTCTTCCCATTTTGCCATATATAAATTGGCTATACTCGGGGCGAATTTAGCACCCATTGCTACTCCTTTGATTTGCAAATAGTATGTGTTATCATACCAGAAATGGTTATGTGCCAGACAGAATTTTAAGCATTTAATAATAAATGTTTTATGTTTATTTGAAATATCTGCATATTTGTTAAGTGCCCATTTTGCTGCTTCTAATGCTCCTTTGTGGTCTATTATGGTGTATAGCAATGCAAAATTTGCTGTGCTCAAAATAGTATTAGTATTTATATTGATGTCCTTAATAATTTGTATAACATGCTTAGTATCTCTTAGGAATGCTAATAAGGTAGTAAGGTAGATAAGGTAGTGAAAAATGTATTAGAACCTCCTATGGGGAATAATATGAGTTTCTTTCAAGGCACAGGCTTCTATGCCTGTGGCAGATGTTACAGCTGCAGTAGAGTAACGCATAATCCCAGACGGAGATTTACATTTAATAACCCTAACAATGGGAAAGAGTATAAAATTCGACAATTTATCTCCTGTGAAACCAAAGGAGTTATTTATGCCTTAAAATGTCCATGTAATTTATTATACATAGGACGGACTAAACGATTATTAAAAGAACGTATAAAGGAACATGTATACAACATTAATAGAGGTTACAAACATCATCATTTATCACTACATTTTAGACAACATCATAATAAAGACGCCAGACTATTAGAATTCTGGGGTATAGAAAAACATACCCATCATTGGAGGGGTGATAACTTGATTAGAGAAATAAGTAAAAAGGAGTCGAAGTGGATTCACGAAATGGGTTGTTTAGCTCCAAATGGTTTGAACAAAGAATTTGATCTGACATGTTTTTTATTAGTAATAAATAAAAATCAGGTTGGGATAATTTCAGATTTTTAATTTTTTAATTTTATAAAAATTTTATGGGGTATACATCATTATTAGATGTTAATTTTTTATATATACATATCATTGTAATCATGACTTTATATAAAAATATTGACTGGGTTCTAAATAGTTTGAAAATAATAAAGTATTATCGCTTTCCCTAAGAGGTAGTAGATTGTATGATCCGCCACTAGGAGGTAGGAGGTAATTTCATATATTTTTATATCAGTTTTTAAAAGATGAGTAAAATATAGGGAGATATATTAGATACATTTTAGAAAATTATTCATTCAAGAATTTGAGGTTTTTAATGGCGCAGTAATTAAAGATTTGGTTTTAATAGCACATACAATATTAGATTTGATGACATAATAGGATTCATAGCTATAGTATTTTTATATATTTTTATTATTTTTTTAGGCAGTATTTAGCTGTGCAAAAATTCCATGTATTAATTGTAATATACACAGTATAAGATGTATATAGCAATCCAGAAAGCCCTCAGTGAATGCTATACATGGCCTGTCCGTTAGTCAACGTCTGACGTTAAAG